CGTACCGTACGTACCGTACGTACGTACTACTCTCTCTCTCTCTCTCTCTCTCTCTCTCTCTCTCTCTCTCTCTCTCTCTCTCTCGACGACGTAGAGAAAAATTAGCGGCCACAAAAATTGATTTTTACTGACGGATAATCGTTCCTTGTGGAATTATTTAGCACTTTACCGCGTTGTTATTCAGAAATCGTGTAATTCAGATCATAAATGAGACGAATGCGAATCGAGGAAGAAGGAGCGCGGTTTTGGTCGACCGTGAGAATGTGGTCGCGCAAAAGAATCTTAAAATCGTTTCCTCGGGGAATTTCGAAAGTATCAAAGATCTTAGGGAATTTCGAAAGTATCAAAGATCTTAGGGAATAGAAAAACAGGAAAGGATTTTTCCGGTAAGGATTATGAAAATATTTCTTTTCTTTAGAACACATGTGCGAACTTTTTTGTGGAACGTATGTGCAAACTTTGGCGAGAGACAAGGTCGATGAATCTGAATTAATTTCGATTTTGTGAGAAATATAAAAAAGATTGATTATTAATGATATTAATTGTAAAAAAGAAAAGATGAAACGATATGAATTATTTAGTCGAAATTTATTTTAATTAATTTTTATTCATCTTATATAATAAATTTACTAAACTTAGTTAAATTTTAATTTATTTTAATTCATTAAATTTTATTTTAAAATAAAATAGCTGATTGTTTTACATATATTTAAAATGTAATTCTTTTTATTATTACCATTTTATTTTTTTAAATAGATCATACCTGATATCATATATCATGAAAATGTTAAACTGCGCATACAAAGCTATATCCGCACGCGTAGAAGTTAAGAAAAAAATTTAGAACATATTTAATATACAATATTTACAACATTTAAAAACACTTAAAATATTAAAAGATATTGTGTTATACCGGAGGTTACATAATATGTGGATATATGCAAACAACTTTTTAAATTCAATATATCGAGTTCTAAACGGAATGTGACATTTTCCATCATGATTGAAATCTCCCGATCACGCAATGAGAAACAGTTCATAATGTTCACAATGCGGAAATGTAATGAAGATCGAAGGCAAATCTGAAAGAAAGTCGCCATCTAATGGCACCAATCATTGTGCATAAAACTTGATCACGTCGCGAGCAATTCTTTCTACGTAATCGCCACGTACCGTCGTATGCGAATACCCGGAAATTCTCCGTTCAACACTGTAGATCCATACTATGATTATTAAAATAATATACGTACTTTCAGCAACATTGTTAGCGTAATGGAAGGTTTCACAATCGTGCACGATCTTGAGGATGCGATAAACACGCTTTCTAAAGAATATGTGCCCTACTCGGAGGATAGGATATATTGGCATACGCGGAGGCAAATTGCCTATGTAAAAAGGGATCGTATGCAAAGGAGACGCATCCTGCTGTTGATCTCACAAATCATCTCTTTATCTCGAACATTTTCAAGCAAAGAGAAATCGCACTTTTGATCAATCTAACTGATACCAGTTGGTTCTTTTCGCTTTCACTGATTGCTTTTATTTATTTCAAATATGATGACGCAGCAAAACGTGCAGGGCGGTCTTCTTGAGAGAGAGAGAGAGAGGAACAAGAAAGAACGTATTTCATACACAATAGTCGTAAACTCCAAAAGGATTATATCTTATTTCTTGTGCCACTAAAATATTTTAAGCCTTTCCGGCTAATGTGGATTATAAAGCTTTTTAGTGTATTATGTTCGATATTACCTGGTTGTTTACTTTGAAATGGTCAACTTTTACTATCTTTTATTCTTCCGATCAACGCCGTTCTTTTAGTACTAAAGAAAAGGGAAAGTAAAATGTAAATATTAACGAAAAAAATATCTAACCTATGAGCTGTTGAAAGCATTCAAAGAAAAATCGTTAAGATAAAAAAAAGGACGAATTCTGAATTTCATTCAGAATAAAGAATTAAATTTACGTTTTATTAAATAAACACATGAAAATCTGATACAACCTGATAACATTGTAAGTGACAAATTGTGCAGAATCAGTTATGATAATAGTTATCACAGCGATTGAATATTTCAGTACGCAATTTGTACTGTTTTAAATATTATCTAATTACCAATTCATATTCTGAAAAATATATCTGCAATAAAAACATATATGCAACGTTGTTGTATCTGTCCATATATCTTTTTAATAAAGGTGATTCTGAGTTAAAAACCATTTGAAATCATCTTTAATATTTAAAAATGTATTAATATATTAATTGAAATTAAATATTCATAATTTAATATTTATATAATATAATATTAAAATGTAATGTTTATTTCAAGTTATGAAGTTGTTTTCTACAAAGAATGTTAACGATAATAAATAGAAGCAAGTTGTAACAGTCGATAAAGAAGATTGTGTGATCCATGGATCATCCTAGTAAATCGTTCCAATGGCTTCTTACAAGCGCCATCTCACATTGTTCTCTTTACCTGATATTATAATGGTATTATCAGCTGGAGAATATACAGATTGCAAAACTTATAAATACTTCTCTGTAAAATTTAAATTGTATCAATGAATAAACTTTTGTTCAATGAAAAAATATTTATATATTTTATTTAACGCAATTATATTTTGTGCTATTTATTTTTATAAAATTAAATATAATTTATTAAGTTATTAAGATAATATTAATCTTGTTATTTTTATTATTTATTTTTAATTATTCAAGTAAATTATTTTAAGTATTCAAGTTTATTATAAATTCTAATCTTGATGATTTTGCAATCATACTATTTAAAAGAATGGCAACAAATTTTACATATCTCATGGCACAGCAAACATCTAACAGGGGATTGGAACGAGTTTAATTGCGTAGAAATGGCTTATTCAAAGTATTGGTAATTTTTGAAATTTAATTAATTAATTTATTTTTGTATTTTAGAGCACATCCTTCAAAAAGGCATATAAAATCAATTACTCGTCGATTGGTTCTCTTGCTGCGCTAACTTGGTGAACGATTGTTATCATAAAGATTGTTTTAATGTTGCGCGTCTTTTGTCTAAATAGGTAAAAAGTTCGTCGCGATTTTCACAGCGTTTTGTGTCAAAAAACTATGACTTCGACAATTTTTCATGTATCTAAAGATAAAGAAAAAGTAGTTTTCTGAAAATCGAGACTGGGAAATCTTTCCATTGCGAAATACACATGCACATATTATTACATATACATGTATTAAAAAATACTCTTTCTTCCCATTTCTATGAAAAAAGTGTCTCACAGAAATGAAATTAAAGAAGAAGGAAGAAAAAAAGAGAATATATCAAAGAAGATAAATATCAATTTTACAAGAATGCTCTTATTAACAAATGCAAAAGTAATAATAATATAATAAATAATTATGTCACACGAAAGATAAATGTCAATGTCCAACGAAGGAATAATCTTGTATTATCTCGTGGATATATTTGATAGCATAACCTGATATTGATGAAAATTATATTCTTTGCATGCTTTACATGTATAATATACATGCAAAGATAATTGTTGCTAGTTATCTTCTTTTACATTCAAAAAGTATGACAAACTTTGTCGATATTTCGCAATTATAGCGTATATAAATATGTTCTTTTTGCGAAAGAATTTAATTTGATTTAATTCTATTTGTCAATGCATTACGAATCTCGGGATTAGAGGAAATATTCCGGATTCTTAAACCTAATCGAAAATTTAATTAATACAACTAATTTCTCGATAAGCTAACGAATCCGCTATCAGCTCGATGCGAGTTTTGCTGAATCGATAAAACGATTCTACGATTATAGTCGGCACAGAGCCGACAGTCTTTAAATGCGGCGTTCTTATTAAAACAAAACTGACTTCGCGTCAGCGAATTCAATTGCGAGCTACTTGATTATTTGGCGTACGTTTCTTTGGTCGTATTTTATTTGCCGATGTACGATCGGGAATGCGTTTAACGAGGGCAACATCAGGCGATCGATCGATGCATCGTTAGTGGGACATTAGAACGAGTTCAGTTGTAGTTTGTTGAGCCGCTCGAAGACGAGGACGATGAAGAAGATCCTACCGAGTTGTACGAACTGGAGCTGCTGCTGGGTGAGTAATAACTGTAAGCAAGATTTTGAGCCTCCACACTATTGGTTGGCGTCCAAACGCGGGAATAAGGGCCGTTGCCATCCCACGTATTGACAGGATCATAGCTCGACGTCGTCGAGGGCAAAGGTGGAGCACCGTAAGTCGATGCCGGTTCCATGGACATACCTACAATCGAAAAATTTTACTTTTCACGTGTTCCATGAAAATTACTATAATGTTAATAAAATTGTTTTCTACATTGCGATTAATCTTCAAAATCAACTTAAATAAAAATCTATACGTAATTGCTTCCTCTAGTATGTTAAAAGAGTTCATTGAAACTTTTTAACAAATTATATAAAATAATATTCTAGAAAAAAAAATGATTTTTAAAATTCAATAAGGAAAGTGAAACTTCTAAAAGTTGATATATATATATTGATTATTCTTTTTATAATGTACATATAATAAAATTATTTATATATATATCATTATATTATATATATATATATCATTTTTGTAATTAATATAAAAACATTAAAATGTTAAAGATAAATATATGCATATATGTACATACCCATTGGCATCATCATGCCGCCTTTTTTGAAAAGCTGCATAGCAACGAATCCGATCACAATAAGAATGGCGAGTTTCGATAGGACAAGAGCCTTTAACGCTTTTAATCCAATAATGGCGACGAAGATAGGCATTAAGGCTTTCAATTTCAATTTCAACAGCAATAAGAACGGTAACAGAAGCTTCTTCTTTAAAAGTCCTCGAGCTTGATTGGTGACTACGTCATTATCCTTGAATTCGACATCAAGATCAGCTAAGCTCCTGCTAGGTCTATACTTTAAACTAGCATCGACGAAAGGTAAGTCAACACCATAATCGAAACTTTTCAGATATTTGAAGGTTCTGGCGACGATCGCTTCATCGATGGTTTCGAGTGATCTCGCTTCCGTGGTGATTCCCAGTTTGGCATCGAGAAAGTCTAAAGCTCGATGCTTCAAGCAAGATGTCCACGATTCCGCCTTTACACACTCGTTCAAAGCGTTTGTCAGAAAGTCATGATTGGCCGTGCAAGATCCGATCAAGAACAGAACGATCGCGCCTATCGCCGTTATCAGCCGCATATCGGTATTCCTTTTCCTTTCTTCGACGTCTTGCGGAAGGTTGTCCTCTCACGTGTCTCTCTCTCTCTCTCTCTCTTCCTGTCTGTCTTCCACTCGCCGTATTCTCGCGGTATCACGTGTTAATAAAAGCGCTCGATCGTCTACCCGTGCGAGCGAGCGATCATCGGCAATCGAACTGCGACTGACGGAGGAGTGGCCCGCCCCTTTTATTTAATTTGTCCCCCTTGAATCTATGTTATTCGGTCGCACATGTCAGGAATCTACGATCGAAGGGAAATTATTCAAATTTCACTGGCGCATAGAGCGCGGTATCTTCGATCCACTGTCGAATCCCCCTTCATTCACTCATGCGTGTATATATACGTATATTGATTGTTGTGCGTCGCGTACGTTGTACACGATGGCATGCAACGCGTCTACGGGAAACGGAACTTGCGTCTCGCGTCTCTTCGTCCTCGCGAGCCTTTTACTTGGCTACTCGCCGTAAATTGCCAGGTGTCGCATTTCGCGGCTCCTATACTCCTTCTATAGTGATTACGATTTAGAACAGAAGTCTAACCGTTGTCATTGAGACACCACTTAAAACCGCAAACCGTACGTATATGCGCCCATGTGATTTAAAGACGTGATACTTCTATTCTAACGTTACGGTACGATACATTGTTTTTACGATAATTACGATGATTTATGCATCATTATTACGATGCCGATTACATTTGTTCCGCACATATGGCATTGTAAACTACATCAATGACATCGTGGAAAAAAACACGATGTAAATTTTGTTATATTGACAAAAAAAGAAATTTTTATTACAGTAGACTTTTGTTTCAAATATCGATTTGTAAATATAATATTGCATCTCGTTTTTTTACTTTCAGAGTTGATTCTTTTTGTGATGTTTATGTAATATATTTACTTTCTCTAATAAAAGTTTAAAAACATATTTTAATATTTAATTCTGATACTTAATTTCAGTATTTTATTTTCAAATTGAAATGAAATAATATAAAAGAAGAGATATATTGTTATAATATTATTGTTATTATGTATTCAACATATTTGAGCTCTGTTTGTCAATTGCATATATTACGTATATATAGATAAAACAACGTTTTCTTATTTTCATGAAAATTGCAAGTCACGTAATATGTTAAATCAGTGAAATGATTCTTTTAAAGTGCTGATTTCTCCAATCAACTTTCGTAAGAAACGAAAGTGATCTCATTTGCTTATATGTGTGCGTAGGATAGATTTCTTTAACTTAGATTTTATAACATTTCAATCAATTTTAAGAGCAAGTATTTCTTTAAAAACTGGAAAAAGAGATAATAAAAAAATTATGTATTATGGAAATACATTATGGAAAATGGTAAAGTATATCACTTAAATCTTAATATATATAAAATCAAAAGCTCTTTTCTAAGGTTGATTAATCAACAAAAGTACGACATTGATTAATCAATAAAAGTAAAGTCTAAATTTAGATAAAATTGTTTATCTGATTTTTTATTTGATGAATACAATTTTCACTCAAAATAGAAAGTATTAATTTTAAACAAATTTTGAGTAAATTGAAGTTTATAAAAATAAAAGATAAACAAGCTTCAAATAAAATGGTTCCATGGATTAATAAAATTCTAACTTTTTGGTAATTTAAAAAAATTTAAATGTTTATTAATAAATGAATCTTAAGTTAAGTTTAAATATATTTTTTTTTCTTTGTAAGGTTAAATTGGCATATTTATTTTTATTTTAATTAAAATATAATTTCTCAACATATAAAATACATGTTGATTTAAAATTTATTAACATGTAGTAATGTGTAACGTAATCTTCTTTGTTTTATTAATCTAGCATTAAATCAAAGTCATGTCAGGAAGGCAGATTTTCAAATAAGCATAGAATAAAATGACTTGCAATAATAATTTATTAAATAGACAAATAAAAATAGGAAGCTAAGTATTTTACAAAGGCATCTACAAGTCGATAGCGACATTAGGATTGTGCATGAGCGGAGTATGCGAGATTGTGCGCGAATTGCGACGACGACGAGAGTTGATCCTGATCCTGGAAAGATCTATATTGAGTTTGGTAATCCCATCCATGAGCTAAAGGCGCAGCGTGGGTATCGGCGGCAATTTTCTTGCAGAGTTGAAAGATGGCCATGCCGACGGATACGATGAAGCTGAAGAACGAGAGCTGCAGGGCATTCCAGGCCTTTAAACCAAGCACACCGATGGCCAAAGGAATCAGAGTCATCGCCTTAAGCAGGACGAACACGAGAATGGGGATAATGACTTTTTTCAGCTTGGATCTACGAGCCTCATCGACAGCACGGCCCTGACCGAACTTGACGTCGAAGGTAAGTTGATCATCCTCGATGTTGCGGGAGCTCACCTTCACGGTAGAGTCTAGTGGCAACTTAAAGGTCACGTCGTGAGAGGCCAAATAAGATTGTACGGTGTCGAGGAAAGAACTCTCGCTACGAGCAGACGTTCCCTCGATGGGGTGCGAGTTGTGTGTAACTTCCACCGTCTCGGACACCTGTAAAGATAAAGATAGTTTGAAAAATTTATTACAGCAAAATATCTCGTTGATAGGTTGATCATATAGGAAATTTACACAACTATGCTTTTTAAACAAAAGAAGAAATTAAAAATAATAAAGTAAAATTATAAAAAGTCTACTATATCGCTATTTGAATAATCTTAATAAGAAGGTATTTATTGATACTTGCCTTGAAGTTATCTTTGCTGAAGATTTGGTCGAGCAAATTAAGCACCTTAAACTTCATGCAAGCAACTTCATCGTTTTTCTGCGAGCACTCGGATCTGGACTGATCTACCATCTCGTCTATGGCACCCTTCCAATTCTCATTCTTGGCTGGCTGCGCGGCGGCCAGCGCTAATAAGGAGCACAAAATGAAGAACTTCATGACGTTCGTATAGGCAGTAGGTAGTATATCCGTTCTTGAGGAATACTTCCGTTGTTCACCTATTCGTAGTAGATAATGAATGAGAACGATCGCGGCACGACTGATGCCAGTGGGTTGGGCAGGACGGTATTTATACGAAGGCCTATCGTCGAATCGCGCGACGCATGTTCAAAAGCTGCGTAGCGGCGTTTCCCGAACACTCCCCCACTTCCACTTCGGGCGTGGATTTTCTTTTCGTTCAGTATGGTCTTCGATTATTGAGGCCTTGCCACAGATCATGCCGCGACTACCTAATGAGGGAGGATAGACGAGCGTGAGATCGCACGACGCGCGGCACGCGACGTCGAATCGGGGTAGCGGCCCCGATAGGCCATACATTTCGCTCATGAAACGCGATGGAATCTATGATATTAATGAGCAGCAGTTTGCTTTCCACAAACGATATCAGGAGACCCACTTGTGACCCACAGTAGTCGCTCATGAAATATTTTTGAAGCATGGCTTGGAATTAAATTTTTTTATAATGAACGCAGCCGGACTTTACAATCAAACTTGATTCATTTAGATGATACGAAAGAAAGTACGTAGAATTATTCAAGTTAGAAATATTAAAAGAGAAGAACTTTTTCTTTCTTTTAATTTTTCAAAAATTATATATACAAAAAATTGATGTAATAATGTCTAACCGAATTATTTAATTTTCTTAATTATTTTAAGTAACATAACATTACATGATATTTACTAGATAATTATAACTTTTAATTTATCTATGCTTTAAAATGTACATGTATGTAAACTAATTTTGTATGTAAACTAATAATTTAAGTAATTTTTTAATTATTTCCAATTTCTCTCATTTGAGACTTTAAATACAAAAAAATTGAAATTGTAATTAATATTTATATTATGACTTATATAATTACTTCTTCTACTATTTATGACTTAATTACATATAACAAAAAATCTTAATCTTAATAAATAAAACAATAATATGAAAGATTCTTGAAAAGACAATCTAATAAAGAAAAGTTAAAGAAAAGTACTTATTTTTTTAATTATTTTTATATATTATATATTTATATATATATAAAATATATATATATTTATATAATTAAAAATATATATATTTATATATATTTTATATTTTATATATTTATATATATTTTCATTTAGTCTTTCTAATTATAGTAAATAACCGGAAATCATGTATGAGTTCAGTATCAGTAAGAGTTTTTCTATCCTTGACAACGAAATCATTGTAACATTGGCATTGAATCAATCATTCATTCATGCCACGATCATGACTTTCCACACGAGCGCTCCATTAAAGCTCCCTCCTGTCTCTTCGTGTTCTTTTCACGTCTTCTTGTGTCGTTAACTCGATCTCTAGACAGTGCTAATTTCACCCTACCAGACCTAATTAAATTGTAACTCCGGATCGAACCTAAAGAAAAACAGTTCGTCGGGGTACATCAGTAATGCACATTGCGTGCAAATTTCTCGCGCGAAAATGCGCATGGTGGGGTACATCCAAGACAAGACGCTTCTGTCATTTTGTCCGACTTCTTTGTCGTAACAATGAAACGACAACTGGAATTTTGGGTCAAGTTTGCATAAGCATTCAGGCCGTCTAGCCGATGAAATATCGATCAATATTTTTTTGTGTTTTATATAATTAATCTATTCCTTTTGTAGTTTGTTTTTTTTTTTATTAATTTATTACGTTATTAATTTATCACCTATCAATCTTTTGTACAATAATTCCTATATTATTAATTTTATCAAAAAAAATATATTAAAATATATTTGCCATAAGACGCTACCCTATTTTTTAATATATAGATGATTTTGTCTTTTTTAGATATAAGGTTTAAAGATATTTAAGGATTAAGAACAACTTTATAATAGAAATTAAAAATCAACAAACTTGCATAAAATTTGTAGCTAAATTCTTTAATCTCTTTAAATATGTTTACGTATATTCTGAATAAAAAATATTAGTAGGTTATATAAATTTAAATTACTTATATTATTTAAATAGATATTAAAAGAAAAAAATTATTTATTATTTATTAAAAAATTATTTTGTTTATTTAGAAATTTATTAATACTTTTATTTGTTTATCACTTTTTTATAAAATGTATTACTTTTTACTATAAATCGAGCATTTTTATTTTAACTGAGGAAACAATAGTTTAAGTATCAAAACGGAAAGTGTTAAGATAAAAATAATTGACAAAAAAATATTTGATGAAATAATGTAAAAATTTTTATTATATATAAAAAATTTAATGGACACTAATGAAATACTAATGATAAATAAATATTAGATAAATCTACATAAATGATGAAGCGATCAATCATTGTACGTTGTTTTATTTCCTGTAGGCCCGGTAAGGTCCGTGAGGTGCAGTATCCCAATGAGGGGGATGTTCTACAGGTGGATGTCCGTAGTGAACAACTTCGTAAGCGACTTTCGGTTTAGTCAATTTGAAGATCGTCATTGCTCCGCTGAGAACCAACGAAAGGAGACCTAGAGTCAATGCTTTCCACGTTTTCAAGGCGATGAGAGCGAGAGCAAGAGGTACCAAAGCGGTGGCTTTGAATTTGAGACCAAGTAGAAATGGTATCATCACTTTCTTTACGAAACCGCGACCTATGAGAGTAGAAATAAAATCCATTTACAGCCATTTTTTCAGAAATTTTATAAAATTAAAATTTAAAAAAATGTAACATATTTCACATATTAATTTTTTCACTTTTACATATATTAATTTTTTTGCCAACAGTTTATGTAAATACAAAGATTGTAGAATAAAATAATATTAATTATTATTTATATTATTTATTATTAGATTACCTTGTTCATTAGAAGAATCACTAAGAGGGATTGTAAGACTCTTTGGCATACTGTCGACTAAGGATCTAGGAACAATGTTGGACCCTACAATCGCTGCTGGTAATTTAGCTTCAAGCTGATGGTTCGACAAATACGCGTCCAATTTCTCGAGCATCAACGTTCGCAAAAGTTTTCTCTTGGCTGGATCTGCAGCATCGTACTGTAAGGTAGGATAGTAATCTTCCTCCTTATATTCCGGCGCGTCACGGGATTTAACTACCGCTAAATCCTCCGTAATTGCCAATCTGTCTTGTTTCACGGCATCGGTGATATAAGCCAACACTTTCGGTTTAACGCAAGATAACATGGATTCGCTGTCTGCGCATCTGAAACGTTTTAAATTCATACGCAACGTGAGATAGCGAATATTTTATTGCTATTCAACATCCTCCAACATTTTGTTAGCAAATTGGAGTTGTTTAATACAATTAAATAGTATACATATAAAATTAAATGTATTGGAGAGTTATAATAATTAATACCTGTGATAAATTTCTCGCAGGACATTGACGGTAGTTTCTAATTGTTGCGCACTAGTGAGGACGGCCAAAAGGGCTACCGACACAAAAGTAGTTAAGATCCTCATGGCGGTATCACCGATTCGCCAGGCTAAACACCGAATGCCAGTACGGACGAAGTCAACGGGGTTTTATAGCCGATGGCAGTTGTGTACGATCAATGAATTTTGATCAGAGACGTGTTCCTGGCTGGTTGAAAGAAAAGAAGAAAGCTTCATTATCTAGGGTGTCAGAGTATTTTCACGGCACTGAGTGCTCTTGTCCCTCTAAACGATTTCGATTTCAATATTTATTTATCAAACACCATTTCCAGTTTTTAAATTATATCTACTTAATGAAATGTATTTTAATATTTAGAAATGTTTTCAATATTTTCAATATACTTTTTAATATTTCTGCAATATAAATTTTTGCGTTAATTATCAAATTTTTAATCCTTTGCTTATGTATGTAATTATAAAAGCTTTATATGCTTTTAATAAATCATTGAGATCCAAAGCGATTATAATTTTAAAAATGTTATGTCAAATTTATAATTTTATGTTTTATTTTTTCTTAAAAATTTCAAGTTCTTTAATTCTAAATTAATAATCTAAAATTTTTGATAATCATTGTTAAACAGATTAAAAATTTTTTGCTCATTTACACTTATTTACAACATTAAAAAAATAAATAAATAAAGTTGTTTAAAAACAATATGTGTATGTAAAACTATTTTAATTTAAGTAATCTGCATATAGTTTAAAAATCATTCGCCATTGAAAATAATATAGTAATAAAATCAACACATGGATATATGGATAATATATAAAAATATAGTTGTTGATTTAATATTTTATTATGCATAAATTAATATACAGTACACTATAATAGTTAATTCTAATTACTTAAAAATATTTATTTATTTTCTATATAGCTTTTCGATATT